AATAAAGGTTAATCAATTTATTTGATTTTAATAGGCTATTCATTAAACAATCTACAAAAATATAACGATGCAATTGATTGTTATGATAAAGCAATCCAATTACATCCTAATTATGCAAAAGCCTATTTCAATAAAGGTTAATCAATTTATTTAATTTGAATAGGTTATTTACTAACGTAATTGAAGAAATATTAATAAGCCAAAAATAATTATGAGCAAGCAGTTTTATATTGCAAATTAGAATAAAATGAGTTTAGACAATTAATTAAGGAATTAAATAATATGAAATGAATATGTTTAGGCATCATTAATAAAATATTTATCATATTTATCCTAGAATATTTCATAAAATAGTACTTTTTTTATAATTCTTAACCAAATTACTATGCCTTCCATTTTTTAATGAAAAATAATTTTTATTCTTTTGGCAATATTCTTTATTTCTATTCATACTATATATCTTATAATATCTTTTTCTTAATTAAAAAATAAATATTAATCATCTAAATTCCTAATAATAATAAGAAGAAGATTTAATTTTAATTATTTGTCATATAAACAAGGAATCTTAAAATAAATATATTTTAAGATTTAAGAATTAAATCACTAAGGATCTTTTTTAATACTAAATAACCTTTTCATTTTAATCTTAAAATCGAAGACATCTAACCAAAAATTTAATAATCTTTTAATTCTTTAAGTTTAAATCATAACCAATAAAATCTAAATAATTGATTTTTATCAAATCTGCAAAGTATGATAAAATGGATTAATCGAATTGAATTTCTCCTCTAAGCTGAGAATAGTTTCTGAGAAGAAGGTGTCTAAATATATCTAATAGTTGAAATTCTTGTGATTTTAATTTATTTTAAATATGGGAGGATACAGATAGTAATTCATTTAAGGAATATTAGGAAATGGGAAAGGTATTCTAAGCTGAAGAAAAAGTATAGAGTACAAAGCAAATCGTAAGAAAAAAAAATTATGATAGGAATTATTCGTCATTTAAAGTAGAATAAGAAAAGATATAGAAATTGACTTTTTGTCCTATTACATACATATTATAAATTGATAATAAAAATTGTTTAATAAAGTCTTAAATTCAACATTTGAATATTAAAAGGCTAGCTATTTAGAAACCATATATGAAAAAAATTGTATTATTAACATGTTAAATTGGAACTGCTCTAAAAACTCTATTTAATTAAAATCACTACATTCATTAAAAGCCAACTATAGAAGATTTGCTACTCTATGTTAAAGAATAATAAAATGGTAGAATTTTTCCATTGATTAATGAATTTAGTTAGTTCATCTATAGTTCTATAGTGGTTAAATAATTTTTTAAGAGTCAATACACCTGGATTGGGATATTAGGATACTATTAATACAATTAAAGCACATTTATATTAATTAGAAAATATTGGTATCTCTATTATTTATATTAATATATTAAAAATCCTTTATTAAAACAAGCAGTTATTCTAGATTCCTAGGATGTAATAGAGGCCTGACTCAAAGAAGTAAGAGTATAAACTGAGATTCAAGGGCCCTAATTGGCCACCGAAGTGTCTAAAGGAAAGGACAATCTGTTCTCTCTCCTTTAAATAATTGTGGACTACTAACTGTCGAGTTTTGAGAATTTAGACAAGTTTTAGGAATAAGGAAGAATAACTAAGACATAGGGATTGTAATAATCTTTAAATTCCTCTCTCCATTTTCGAAAGCTCTGAATAATTAAGGAGTCTCAATACCATTAATTGTGGGTTGTGTATGCTTGATACCAAAAATTAAACAAAAATTATTGATTAGATTTAAAAGGTTGACACACTTATACTTGGAAAAGGACAATAATAGAATATAGAGATGTTCCTCTGTTTAACACCGTTATGCTACCAAGGTAGAATTAGGCTAGGCGATATGTTGAACCCTCCATTTTAATTAAAATTTAATGGTAGATTTAAATAAATCATCTTTATAAAAAGAGTGGCAAATTTTTATTATACATGGTTAAACATTATTTTCTAAGAAGGGGAATAACTTTATTTAAATGATTTAATTATTAATAAGTAATAAGTGATATCAATTTCTAATAAAGGTACCTTTACTTTAGCAATAAATATAGTTCAAATTAATAAAGGATTTCATAGGTTTTTTTTTATTAAGGAAATATTTGGGAATAATATTTGACACATTCCAAGTATATAATTCCCTTAGAATAAATTGATTTTATTATATGAATGAATTATTTTCTACTGTATAACTACAATCATTATTTCTATCGATAATATCCAAAATGTTATCAGGTATCTGCTATATAAAACTCAAAATATCAATATTTTTTATAATGAAAATTTTATTGCTTAAACTAAATGAATATAATAATATAGGAGAAAGGAAATTAGCAAACTTTATATTGAAATGTATTTTAATTACTATCTCTTTTTGATCTATTTATGAAATTAATGAAAAGTAATCCAAATATTAAAATATCCGTCTCAGAAATATATCATGTTTAATAACAAATTTAAAGTTCATTATGATTAATAATATTATAGGGCAGATACATTCTGTTTAAATTTTGATAAAATAAAATTTCAATAATTAACTTCTTAAATAAAATATAAAATATTTTTCCTCTTTTTATAAGAAGACAGCGAAATATTGTTAACATTATATTTAAATTAATAATTAATTAGAAATGCAAATAATCTTTTTAATTTCAATCACTGCTAAAGTAGTAAAAATCATTTATATTTTATTAAATATATATTTTTTAATTGATCAACTACATCATATTATAAATTAGAAAGATACTTTGTTTTTTAAAACCTGTAATCCTAAATTTAAATGTTAAAGTATACAAAAACTTTAAATAATAAATAAAAATTTCATAGTTTTTGATACAATAAAATATCATTTAATTTTCAATATTATAATCTCTTTTTAAAAATCATTAATTGTTTGATATTTTCTTAATTTTAATCCATTAGATCTAAACATTTCACATTTTTGATATCAATAAATATATCCATTAGATTTTATCTTGTGATGCTAATATTAAAATTTAGTTTCTTCTTAATAGCTAATTTTATCAAGTTAATGAAAAGTTTGGTCGATAAAGGCTGCTTAATATATATCTTGAAAATATAAATCCTAAAATTTATGAGAATTGAAAATTATTTAGTTAGATTTTTTATTTTAAATATAGTCATAATTAATTCTATTATATATTATCTATCAATATGATATCTTAAACTATATCATAAAATATTAAAATTATAATTTCCTGATATGAATATATATTTTAATATAATTAGTTTCTAAACAGTGAAAGCTTTTCAGTGAGCCAAGAATGATTTGGTGATGGATGCATCAACCTCTAAAGGGATTATGGATTTCTCCTTAGAACCAAAAAGAAAATAATAGTTGTGACTCAATTACCTCAATCATTTAATAAGTGTCTCTCTATTTTTGACTATGAAAATATTGGAATGGAGATGGCTAACCTGCAGCGAATAACTAATGCACCAAAATTAAAATTAAATAGTAAATTTTTATGTAATTAAATAAGTATTTATGTTTAGGAGAAGAAAAAAGATACTTATATTTAGTATTTTTAACTTTTTTAAGATTATTTAATTAACAAATGAAACTGCCTAACAAGAGGTGTAATTTTGTTCCAAGAGTATATTAATTTTATGATAATCATATTATGATCATTTTTATTTATATCATTTCTTAATTAATATGATTAAAATATTAGTAATCATTTTAATCTCCTTAAAATAAGTAACTATATATTTTAATTGAATAATAGTTATAATCTTAGAATTTTACATCAGGGCTAATGCTTTAAAATAATAATTCCAAAAATCTTCTTGAGTCTGATTACAGAATGTAATTAATTTTGAGACTAATTGTTAAAATAAAATGTATTTAGAATTAATCATAATCTTCAGGTAATTAAAATTTTTTGTTACAAAGAATACCAATTCTATCTCTTTATCTTCTGATTGTACAATATAATCAACTAGTAATAACAATTAATTTATTTGTTTATATGAATTTTAAACAGGAAAAAAATCATATTTAGTTTGCCATATTAATGATTTCAATTCTATTTACTTTACTGCTAATTTTTATATAAAGAATTTCATCTAAATCAAAAATAATTAAGCAATTGCTTAATTATACAGAAGTTGATTTATTAACATTTATTAAATAAAGAGTAAATTAATTTTTAATAAAATTAAATTGAGATTTAGTAATATTTAAATTGATCATATCAATTATTTCTGTATTTTACTAAACATTAATAATATATAAATATTCTTTATATAGAAATGATTAATTATATTGATTCATTATAAGCCATGACTTCAATCCCTAAATTGAACACTTAGGCTAAAATTATCACTGACTGTTTGACTACTAACACAGTTTTGTTATTTTATCTGAGAATTGTGCACAGTTCTTCAATTAAATTATTTAATAGTTTAAAAGATTATCTACTTAGCTTCAAATCTTTAATTACTTGACCACAGAAAAAGAGAGAACTTAACTTAGACAAGTCGAATTAATTAATAATAAAATTTGTAATTAAATT